CATTATATAATTTGTCCTGTGCTGCATTTACAGACATGCTTTATACCTTACTTTTACACACACACACACACACACCTATGCAGTTAAAATTTGTCACTGGTCACAGAGTTTTACAGACGTGGATGAGAGAAACACAAGGCCAAACACACAATAGGCTGCAGAAGTGAATACAGACAGTCCAAGAGAAGATGACAAACACATTGTGTTCTTGTCTGAAACTGGAAGGATAAAGGAACAGAAGTTATGGTCTTTAGCTGTCTGACTTCCATCGCTTCACATTCTCTCTACATTCAACAACTGATTGGATAATTGGGTTCTTAGCAGTTGCCATTGTGCATCTTCATCTGCAAAGACAGTGGCAACTATACAAGTGAATCTTCAAGTGAAATGCAGACGTATGGGTGTGTCATCTTCATCAGGAATCCTAAAATCATAGAGAATTTAAGGAACCATAAGGCCTCTTAGGGCCCAGACACACCAAATCGAATTCAAAGAACTGGGGGTAATGACAGCCAACTGCTGCATTGCCTCACGTCGTCTGTGTCTCAGCCAAATAGTTGCACATAAACACACCGCAAAGATTGCAGCCCATGGCTAGCCAGCACATACATCCTGAGAGGAAATAACTCTTAACACCAGGAGATGGCAGTAGTCTGTATTTGTCAATCCAAAAGGGAAACCTTAAAACCATCATGTCTCTATTTAGCCAGTTAGAACATTAACAACACAATCTAATTTTGAAAGAACAGAGCATATTGTCCATGCACCAGTGAACATTAACTAAAACCATAATGTAACATTTCTGCTACATAGCTCAGTGGCTAAAGAAAAATACCCTGTGTGTTAACTTTGTTTTGGTCTCACTTCCTATTGACTTTAGCTTTTTGTTTACATTCCTCACTTCCGTTTCTTCTTTCGCGTTCTGAGCTGAATTGCCAATCAGAGTGATTTTATCCACTGACAGACTCTGCCATTGCCGACGCCAATTCAACATGCTGAATCAGCCAAAAGAGCTGATGGGGTCCAATGGTGTGGGACACAATGCACTGACTAGGGCGACAGAGGCTCACTGACAGCAACACTGACCATTGGCTGACCGTCGGCTTGGTGTGTCAGGACCTTTAAAGAGGTACAAGGATGCCAGATAAACAGTGTCGCCCCCAGATAGGGCCACTGAAAATCTTGGGGTGGCACATCAAAACCAAAACCCATAACTGTTGTTCAGGTATTCCATTATGCTGTTGAGGCTAGTTTAAAACTATGTCAATATGAGAGTTAAGGAATCTCATGCTGATATACTTTGGTTTCTTATTTAAGATTTTACTATAATTATAATCATATATTTTACAGAGCGTTATTTAGCCCCTTCCCAGAGAACCTATCATGCTTCACACAACCGAAGGTTTCCGAAATGGGACGGTCTGGTCTGCAGAGGATTTCCTTGTTGCATCACCAGTTGTTCTCGCCTCAACCAGTTGGCGTTACTGTTACCTAGCAACTAGCTGTACTAGATAGACAGACAGACAGACAGACAGACAGACAGATTTTTTTTATTGTACAGGTAAATACTTGAGATGATTCACGCCACTGTCTGATATATTTCAGGCTGATGGACCGTTTTCAGGTAAACTAGTAATTGAAATTAAGATTTTTTAAGCTGCTTGCTTTTAGATAATAGTAATGGAAACAACACTTAAAGGCACTGTATGTAAGAATGTGGCCAAAATGGTTACTGCACTCAAATTCAAAATACTGCCGCAAGTCGTGTCCGCCCCCCCTCCCCTACAGATTCGAGGTTGCTGGACAGCGGCACGCTGGAGACTGATTTGTTTGCCCACGGACGGCTGCCGTGGCAGGGCCACGTTGCCGCGTCCTTGATCTTCGGTTTTCCAGCGGACCATTCGAGCAAGGCCGGCTTCTCTGCTGCTAACGCTGCTGCCGGGATACAGCTGAGGAGACTGTTAATGCTATGTACTGGGACACTGCTAATGCTGCTTGCCGTGCTGCTGTAGCTCAGTCGTAACTGTAACTGATGCTGAGACTCTACTGACTGTGTGACTGGTAGACGGCGGTGGGTGGCGCAACAGGCCAAAACACAAATTCAAAACATAAACATGATTTGCGGACCGTAAAATATTTTTTTAAATGCGAATATTCTGGCCGTACTATTGTTGTCGGTGAGATCAGTATGTTATATGAACATTATTCCTTAGTCTCTGTGACATATTAGGATGATTTTATGACTATTTGCTTTAGATTTCTTACATATAGTTCCTTTAACCATTAGCTAGTTAACAACTGTTAGTTAACTTAATATATAATTGTCACCGGCGCGCAATGCCTCTTGGGATAAGCTGCGCCACGAAGTATTTATCAGTTGCATCCTCCAAATTCTGAGAAAGAAGGCTGTATTTGGGGCCACTGTGGCTCAGAGGTAGAGCGGGGCGTCCACCAATTGGAAGATCAGTGGGTCGATCCCCGGCTCCTCCAGTCTGCATGTCGAAGCATCCTTGAGCAAGATACTGAACCCCAAATTGCTCCCGATGATGCTTCCATCAGTGTGTGAATGGGTGTGTGAATGGGTGAATGTGACTCGTAGTGTAAAAGCACTTTGAGTGGTCGGATGACTAGAAAGGCGCTATACAAATGCAGGTCCATTACCAATACCATTCCTCTGCCGCATTTGAAGGAGCCCTCTAAATGGGACAGCCTTGGTCGTGCCAACGTGAGTAGCTGTCAACGTGAAATAAGAACAGCAGCAGCGTGATGAAATAGGTAGATAAAACCTGACCCGCCCCCTCCCCCAGCCTTTCTTTATGGGCGCCACTGCAGATACAGCTGCTGCTTCAACTGCTGCTTTGCTAACTGCAAAATTAGTCAGCATCCAAACAGAAATGTCATGACATCATATGCCAAATTCAGCTCTGTGGTAGACTCTCTTCAACACTGAATAACGCTTATCACAATATGGGTTTCAAGGACCACTTGTGCATTTGTGTATATTTTACATTACACTAACCATTTTTTAAAGCATTTCATAGATTTTCAAATGTTTTAAATGTATTTCTCCCTCCTCCCAGGCAGTCATCAGTTTGCATTCATTTCAGTGTGCTATGAACTTTCCTGAGACATTAACAATACATCTATGTTGTAAGTGTGCTACAGTCACCTAATTTGGTAATCAAATGTTGCTATGGATACCATTCATCCATTTTCTAATCTGTTTACCCTGTTCAGGGTCAAGAGTGGGCTGGAACCTATCCCAGCATGCACTAAATGAGAGACGAACACTTTGGAGAGGAACTTACAGGACTAACATACATAGACAGACAAACCATTCACACTCACATTCACACTAATGGGCAAATCATGGTCCTAAAGTGAGCATATGTGATAACATCCAAGGTGTAGGTTCTACATTCTACCTTGTTTTCAAGCATGTCTTACAAATCAGCAAACCAGATAAATGCAATTAAATGGATAGTTTGGATTTATTTGTTGTTGTTGCTGTATGAGGTACTCTTCCATTGTCAGTGTGTTGCATACAGTAGATGTCTTTTGGCATGCTATCGGTTTGGCGAGGCAGGCAGGAACACTGACATGGAAGCATAGTAATGTACCGCTATGAATGGGAGGCAACAGCAAAACTTATTTTTTAGCCACCTGAAAAAGTTCCACCTAAAAATTTTATATCAGTGTAGGTGTACGCTGTACTGAGAATTTCCTCACCGCTTTACCTTGCTGTCAGACAACCCGTTCCGAAGGGGAAGCTATTAACGGCTTCAGTTCCTCATCTGTACTCTCATCAAAGTCAACAGATCCCTCCCTCAGTAAGTTTGGTTGTGTTATTATGTGACTTTGGTGAATCTGAACTAACCTTTGCTAACACCAAAGTGACACAAAAACACACAAAATACACACTGATGGAGGCGGCAGTAGACCAGCAGCTCCTGTATTCAACAATGTGGAATCTCACTGTTTTCTTAATGGAGTCTGGCTTTGAAGAGAGCGATATAATGGCCTATTTCCCTGTCGGAAATGGCTGACAGAGGTTAAAGCAGTGAAAATATTCTAAATATAGCATACACTTAAAATGATACTGATTTTTTTAGGTGGCTAAAATATGATTTGTTGCTGGCCTCGTCCAAAGCAGTACATTGCTTAGCTACCGAGTCGGACACCATTATGCTTTTTCAAACTCAGGGAATGCCGACTGACATCTACTTTATGTACACTGACTATGGATAAGCACCTCACACAACCCCACTTTAAAAGATCACAACTTTGCCAATAAATGGTAAATGAATCTACACTTGGTCTTCCAACCACTCAAAGCACTTTTTACACTATCAGTCACATTCACCCACACACATACATACATACATTCACACACAGGTAGCCGAGGCTACAGTACAAGGTGTCACCTGCTACTCTTTCACATTTAAACATTATGACTTTCAAATGTCAGTATCATTTAGGTAACATAAGGCCCCCACCCACAGTAGGGGGTCAACAAAGCGGAGCAAAATGAATGGACCAGACCAGCTCCCACCCTGTGACCAGCTCTCCAAACCTGGGTAGATCCCAAGTCAGCTATCGTCTCGCAGCAAAACATGTTAGGTATTCTGAATCAGAATAACACCTGAATAACCTACATAACCTGGGACAATGGTTTCAGTTTAAGATACAGGGTTTTTTCTGTATTTGAAAAGGTATTACAATATATCACATACAAGGTGTTTTTGAAAATCAGTATTTATATATGTGCAGCAAGTATGTGAGGATCTCAGACTGCACAGGTATAAGTATGTGCAGAGAAGACTGAGGATGGGTTTGGAGGAGTCTGGAATCACAGCAAAAACGTATTTATCTTATATCTGAGAATCTAGTGTTTCTCTTTCTCTGTTGCAGGGACTGGGGTTGTGTGGATCTTTGGACTAAAGCAACAAGTCTTCATGAGAGACACTGAAGGTGGATTAGAGGCAGCCACAACCTTTACAATGAATGAGTCAACAGAGGTTCGAACAGATGGCAATTCTCTGCTGAAGGCTGTCTATTTGAGTCGTCTACGTCTGACTCGGCTGCTCCTGGAAGGAGGGGCCTACATAAATGAGAGTAATGAACAAGGCGAGACACCACTTATGGTGGCCTGCAAGACTCGGCATACAGATTCACAGAGTGTTCCCAAACAAAAGATGGTTCGGTACGTTCTATCAGGATTCATGTATGCAATTGATTCTTAGATCCATGTGGTTTGTTGAGAATTACTGGCTTTCACTTCAGGAGGTACCTTGTGTAATCAAAGTGATCTTTACTCCCTATAGGTATCTTCTGGAAAATGGTGCTGATCCAAACATCCAAGACAAAACAGGAAAAACAGCTCTGATGCATGCATGTCTTGAACAAGCTGGAGCTGAAATTCTGTCACTCCTGTTGAGCAGTGGAGCTGATCCAACTTTGGAAGATCATGCAGGCTTATCAGCATTAGTTTATGCAGTCAATTCAGGCAACAGGGGTGTCCTCAGGGTCCTACTGGATGCCTGTAAAGCAAAGGGAAAGGAGGTTATCATCATTACCACAAACAAACTGCCATCAGGCCACCAAATGACAAAGCAATACCTCAATGTCCCTCCACCTACGGACCTTGAGGAGCGGATGCATTACACCCCAGCATCTTGTTGCTTGTCTCCATATGAGGTCCCACTGCGATCTCCTTCACAGGGCTTCATAGCAGGTGCTTCTTCCCAACCCAGTAGCCCCCTTCTTGGCCTCAGGGATCCCCTGTGTTTAGGTTCAGGGCCTGGCCTGGTCACATCTCGACCAGGTTCTCCAATCCAACATCCTAGTCCTTTACGTGTTCCTGGAGTGGATAAGCGGCTTAGTCTCCAGAGGCTACACTCAGAGCAGTGGTCCAAAAGTCCTTCCCTGCTGCTCCAGCAGAGTCAGGCCTCCTCTCTGACAGAGGAGTCAGTGGAAATTACACCTGAGGAGGAGTTGTCCTTCAGAGTCAATGGCCTGGCCTTTCATGGAAGACCTCCAGCTGTTTCATGCTACAACAGCATTGATGTCAAAGATGCAACAGGGCTTCTGAAAGCACTAGAGAACATGTCAGGAAATGAGAAAAGGGGAGGAGGTGGAAGAAAAAGCTTTCGAAAGATGTCATATGACAGTGCTGCAAGTTCACCACATTCTGCATCACACCCAAACTTGCATCATGACAGTCTCCCCTTTCCCCATGGATCAAGCCCTGTGGATGAAGATTCCTCAGACTGTCTCAGACAACTGAACGTTTCCAGTCTGCAAAATGTGGTCCGTCGGCGGAACATTGGTATTGACCACTACAGTTCTGACTCTCAGTTACCTCAGTTTGGCAGCCAATACAATAACTCCAAAAACAGTGGTGGAGCTGGAGTGGGATCAGAAAAGCACAAGCTGGTCAACAGCAGATCTTCCACTCTGTCAGGGTCCAGGGAGTCCTTGGAGAGCACTGTCCAGAAACGAGGTGCTGCTGGGCTGGAGCGAAGAGGCTCAGGGGCTCTCCTTCTGGATCACATCGCCCACACTCGCCCTGGATATCTTCCTCCTCTGAATCCCCATGCTCCTATACCAGATATTGGGGTCAGCTCTAATTCTTCCTACCCTTTGAGTGGAAGTAGCAAGACACTGAATGGTGTTCTTACAGGGTCAAAGCCTATTTTACCCTGTGCACCTGTTTTCCCGAAGGATCTAAAGTCCAAGAAAATGCTTTGGAGACGCCACTCAATGCAGAGTGAGCAGATAAAACAGCTGGCCAACTTCGAGGAAACTTTTGGTCATTAGAATAAAATATTGCAAGTATAAGGAAAAAAATGCATGTGCTCTTACTAGTGTCATACAGTGCTGTATTATACCTATGATGCCATTGCTGATGCCAGCTCACATGTGCTTTTAAGACTTGCTGGTCATACAGTTTTGGAATTCTGAGCCTGTGTTGATGTACCGTTTTAAACTTCTCATGACAGAATTTCATATTGTCATACCAGCAACAGGGACAGTTTGAGCTCTACATAATGAAACATACAACAAAGTCTAATTTAACTTTAGTGTGAAATTCTGCATTATAATTAGCTGAGAAAATAATTTAAAAAAATGTGGTAAGCACTTTTCCAGAACTGCTACATGATTTGACCAAAACATTCTTAACACAAGGTCTAAATTACTTATTTCCAGAGATTTCAACATCTCATTTCCTTTTGCAGTGGATGGAGTTGCTTAGTTCATAGAGATGGTTTTGTTTTAATTTCATAACCTAAATACAGAATTCTAGTCAAATGATAACAGGAGGTCCTCAGTGGTGTAGAGATGGCAAACTGTCTTTCGCCAGATAGTCATTGGATGTGAATGTCCTCTTTGATCTTTCACGGTTGTTCACTGACTGCTGGTTGATAATCCCTTTGATAACTCTGCATCTGTTGACGAGCTGCAGCGCAATGCGTCTAGTGTGTCCTGATGGAGGCGCCTGTGTGTTTTCAGCTTTACAGACAGAAGCTGTTAGCTGCAGAGAGAAAAACTATGTTCTTCTAAATCTTTATATTTATTTTACTGCTGCATTTTTTTTATCTGAATTACAACATGCTGGCTAGTACTTTAAGAAATATTCAACATTTTCCCAGAAATTTTCCTCAATCAAATGATGGAGAAAATGCTATTTCTTATATTTTTGAGTCTTATCTCCTCATTCATACATTCACATAGAAACTCCATTCAAACTTCAAAATGTTCCACAGCTCTCATGGTATTATGATTATGAGTTACTGTCTTTGAGTCAGAAGCAGGAGTATGAGAGGTGTACCTCAGCCTAATCTCTGTGAAATTAACTCTCTGAGATGGGTGTCACTTAACATTTGCTTTTTTTTTTTTACTATGGCAACCTTTGACTGCAGGTGGTAACATGGACACTGTTTACATCTGTTCCACGTGTTTCAGTGATCCAAACACAAGTGGACAGCTAAGACACATCACCAATAACACCCATGTCTACAATGCATCTATAGCTGACTACTACTACTACTACTACTACTACGTTACCAGATCTTGTTACTGCCTACTGCCTATGTTACTTAAGCTGCAAGGTCAAAGCCTACTGTACATCCACACTCTGGCTAGCTGTTTGCTAGTCATGGTTGAGGTTGTGTCGGTACAGCTGGAGATATTGCCGTCAGCAGAATTCCCAAACACATCTCCTTCCACAGTACAAAACAGTGGATGGTCACGCAACACTTTGTCCAACTCTTCATAAAATGTGCAAGTTATAGAGTGTTATCGTACTGTAACCGAAACAACCACCACATCTTGCGCTAATGACATAGTCCTTGTCAGCGACATATCAGGGCACATTAGCATTTACACTACAGAGGATTTGTTCTCAAATGTGTCGCAGACCATTTCTGCAAGTGGTTTGAATGACTGGATCACAGTGGATCTTGGTGACTGTTAACTCCTCTTTTTAGAGCTGTCCGCCTGTGATTGGATCACCCAACATGCATTTTAATACCAGGTATAAACAGAGCCACAGAGCTGACTAATGAGCCAATTAGTGCAGTTTCACAAACACACACACACACAAACACAAAACCTAGACATTTTCAGGCATTTTAAAAGCATATTTTATGTCTTCACTACTTTTCATACTTATACTCCATTCAAACCTTACAGTGTTCCACACCTGTCATATATTACAGGCATTATCCAACCTAAAGCCAGTGATTCAGTGTAGCATCAAATTCTAAACAAACCTGAAATTTTTTCTATTTTTTTTTACATTATTGGTGTCATTCAGCTTTCAGTGGCATCCACACTAAATAAATCCATTCTTTATCCAGCTATTCTTACTACTTCACCTTTTTACACACAAAAGGCAACAACAGTGTAGCATTAGCTTTTCAACATCCAGCATTCATACAGCAATTTCTATCAGGAGAGACAAAAGAATGACGTAAAGATTATATTTAATACAGAATATGAGTGTACAGATTAACAAATGATTTGTGCTGATTAAGATTTGACAGAAGTCTTTGGCACTTCACACCAAAGGGAGATATTTTGTGATCAAGGGACATCTGAGCGGCAGCAAGATAAACCCCCTGATGGAGTCTAGACACTGATGGTGGTGGTGGCTGCTGACTCTGAGGCTGCTGACTGCGGAGGCGGATGAGGCTGATGAATCTGTAAAGACTGGGTGGTGAGGGGGAGGTGAAGGGTGCGCACAACTGCAGCAAGACAGAATTATGGCAGAGAAAGAGCCGTATTTAAAATGAGGGGCAGTAAGATGACAGGCTGACAGAGAAGGTGTGTCACTGTGCTATTGGCTGATCGTGAATCAGCCGAAGAACAGCCGATGACTCAATTGACAGACCCAGACAATGACAACTATAAATAGTGAGTGAGCATGTGTGCAAGGAGTGAATGGCAGGGTGAGAAAGAAACTTATATTGTAGGCAACTGGACTTGCTGCCTACAATATAGCACTTAAGATTTTTACTGGGAGCCAAATTATTATTATTTCTTCCTCTCCAAAAGAAACAGACTAGGTGATTTTAACCAGTAACACTAAATAAAGCAGTTTCACATCAACTGTGTTTGGCATGTCAGAGATGGGCTGTTAGGAAACAAGACATTTACTTTTTCAAAGCCAAAGAGGTTTGAGAGCGGATGTGACATAATGGAAAGCTTTGAGCACACTGACACTTCTTTGAGCATGACCTTACATCAAAGAATAGCACAGTGTGAAAATACAGCTCAAGAAATATCCATTTTCAATCCACAATATAGACTAGAAAAGTGGTGCGTGGGAATTATATTTTGAGCATTATAAATCATTGTGTTTACTTAATCTGCATAAAAATGGTTTAATCAGTTAATTGTTGTTATGCTACAAATTATCATTTCTTAAAGATGTATCAGACTAAGGCTGTGACTTTGAGAGTACTGTAATTCATCAGCTGTGTGGCGTCTATGGGATCCAAAAGATTCACACCACCCTTTACCACCCCCAAGGCAATGGCAAGTGTGAATGATTCAGCAGGACACTTTATGGGCTTCTGTGTATTCTTCCACCCGAACACAAGACCAACTGGCCAAAATAAATCATTTTTACATACAAGACCCCCCCTACACCAATCCACTTTTGAGACCCCCCACCTTTTTATGTTTGGTCAGGATCCTCACAAACCCATTGATTTCCCCTCAGGCCAGATAGCTGGAGGAGAAACTGGCACTGTTTGCGAGTGGATCAGGGACCATCGGCTGTGCCTCTAGATGGCTACGGAAGGGACAAAAGAAGGTCTGCGGGGGGGGGGGGGGGGGGGGGGGGGGGGGGGTGCAGACTGTATACCTACAATTTTAGCATTCAAGGTAGAAAAAAAAAATACAGGATACATTAGAAAATTGTCTCCATAAGGTAGTGAAAAATCATAATGGGGATGGCCAAGTGTACTCTATTGCTCCCAAACATAACTTAAACCAGATGCAGCATACGGCGTTGATGCTACTGACTGGTCCTCTTGTTCCCTTAACCTAAATCCAATTGAGCACCTGTGGGACATTATGTATCAGTGCATCTGACGCCACCTAGTACCACCACAGACTGTCTAGGAACTCAATGATGCCCTGATCCTGGTCTGGGAGGAGATCTCCCAGGACACCATCTGCTGACTCAGCAGAAGCAGGCCCAGATGTTGTTGGAAGTGGACACAGGAACGTGGGAGCCATACACACTACTGAGTCACATTATGAGTTGCCATGATAAGATTCACGCAATTTGGATCACCCTGTAATTTAAATTTTTTTCTTTGATTGTGAATGGTGTGATTTTGAATCTAGCCCATAATGGGTTGATGAATCTATTAAACAGCTGCTGCATAAACAATGTCCATGTGATTACATAAATACTGGCTTTATTGGTCTGTAGCACTACAATGAACGCTATATTTATGAATTCACTGGTTTTAAGCTGCTTTCTGTGTTGTAAACCAGTAAAATACTAAAATGTTCCTTAGCTGCATTGACAGTGTGGTAACAAGTTGATCTGGCTGCCTCCTGTTTTTAAAATATAGCTGTATGTGTCTTAAAACAGGAGGCTTTTTAGAATGTATGGCTATAAAACTATATAGGGGTGGTGGTGCGTGGAGTTGATTATCTGTTTTATTTATTTTCCCACAGTGGGATGAGTTTGAAAAATGTTCTCTTTTTTTAAAGGGCTGACTAGTTGTTTAACATGACACATGTTTATTTAAGCAGGCTCCAAAGATGAAAATGTGTATTTAGAAAATTTATTAGAGACTAGTCCATACCCATTGAGTGCTCATTTGCCCATGTACATTTTCACATGGTGTGTGTTTGGGATACAGGTCATAGGAAATTGCAGATTAAATAGTCAACTGAACCCATTAAGAAGAGCAATGTATTCAGATAGAGTTTTTGTTAATTTGATGGTACGATTGAAAGTCATTGAAAGTAGTAAGAATTTATTGAAAGTACAGTAGATTGACCATGTCAGTGAGTAGAAAAACGTGGGACAGACAGAAATGACTGACTGACAGAATGACACATTGACAGTTTCCGTGATTATGTACAGCATACCATATATATATTTATATATATATATATATATATACACATATTAATCAGTCGAGATCAGTCTGTATCAGTTGTTTTCATTTTAAAACAACAACATATTACTGTGGTTGTGACCTTAAACTGTCAGTGCCCTCTGCCAGCTATGGTGGGTTTGATTTTACCTTGTGGAGAATGACAAGGTCAGAGTCTAGACCCCAAATATC